GTGCAAATCTCCAAGGAGAAGTCAAAGATGCTGATTTCCATGTTTCTCCTTTGGCTTGGAGGGGAGTCTCTGAATTAGAATCTTGCATCTAAACTGCCTTCCATATGGCAATCTCAGTAAATGAACTCATATACACTGTGTTATACAATTTTTTTCTTTGTTTGTTTGTTTTATAGCCTTAACTCAGCGTCCTGCAATGGTGCTGGACATAGTGGGTTCACATTAGCTTATTTATAGAACAAACACAGAGGAGTTTATGTATTGGCTAACACTTCTTGTTGCAGTTAGATAAATGATTCAGAGTAAGTCAAGGAGTCTGTAGGTATGATTCAAAAGCAAATCAATTGGTTGTCCAAGGTTGGAAAAAGTAGTTTGTGGAATCTTTTCATAGGGCCGGGACTTGCCGTATGAGGGAAATTACAGGTGTTCTACAAATAATAGTTCCCTTTTCTAATTCTTGATCTTACCAAATGTACTTTTAAAGAGTCTTTAATGCTGTTGAACAGGCATCAACCTGTTATTTCATATATCAGAGGATTCTACATCAAAAGTACACTAAAGTGACTCAGAAAAACATACTGGCATCCTGGAAGAATGGCATTTAAAACCAAGATAGTGGTGTAGAATGGAAATCCTGATAATTCATCTGTCGTTTGTGTAGTTGTTTCATTTTAGAATAAGGGAGAAACTATAAAGCAAAAATCTTTAATTATGGTAGTACTTAAATGATATCAAAACTGACTTTGCTTTTATCAAAACTATCTCCAAAGCACGAAGAACTTAGAGAGACTCTTTGAGTGAGGATGGTAAATCCATACTGTATTTAACTGTAGTCACATTTATGGCCAATGAACAATGGGACATGCTTTAACCATCAGCATACGGACCTATGGAATACTTTGTCCCATCCTGAGTGCAAATTTTCAATGCTTAATTAGCATAATCAATGTGCACTTCCCTTTTCTGGAACTTAAAATCTCCTGACTTCTTCCTTTGAATGAAATACTCAGTGAATTTATTCACTGGTATATGTTACCTTGCCAGACATGCTAATAAATGTAGCTTTGTAATTTTTTAAATTGCAAAAATAATATCATTTATCTGCAGAAAGTATAACCGTTTCTCTCCTGGAATTAAATAATTTATCTATTAAAATTCTAGTATTTCTGAGTCCAGGCATGGGGTTCCCCATACCAATTAGTAAATGACTCGTAACTTTAGACTTCTGCTCATCCATCTTTTTTATTTGTGGGTTATAGGAAGGGTAATTCATATATGTACATGTTTGGAAAGAGATGGGGTTGGGGAAAGAGAGGAAGAGCAAGAGTTAAATGAATGAGGAATATAATTTGAGGACCGTAACCACACATATTTTTAAAAATACATAACAAATATAATGATATTCTTTTATATTTTATCTCTTGGTAGCAACATTTTGTTTCTATACTAAGGTGTTTCCAAGTGGCTGAGTCTCTTAAGATCCTTTCTTTCTTTTATATATAAAAAAGGCAACCAATAATTTTATGTGTTTGTTTTAATATCCCATATTGACATTGAATTTATAAGTTAGTTAAAAGACATAATATTTAAATTATAATATTAATATGTATGCTGTTTCTAATATTATTTGAAATTATTAATATATAAGTATATGTAATAAATACATATTTATAAAATGTTTTATGTTATTTTATGTTAGTTTTTGATGCTTAATTAGATGATCACCATATGATCATCATGGATTCTCCCTTTGTAGTATTCAAAATACCCTGATGTATTCCCCCTTATGTAGTTATTTAGTGAATTTCTTCACTATAATCCCATGCTGGACATTAATAGACATTTACATATATAAATGTATGTAAGTATGTATTTACATAGTGTGTGTATGTGTTTCTAAACCTCACGGTCTTTGCTCTATTTGGCAATTTGAAGTTTCCATCAAGATTGTTTTAATAAATAATGCTTCTCATTTACATTTACATTAAGAACATTTAATTCTGGGAAACCAAGGCATAGGATAACTTGAGCTCAGGCATTCAAGACTAGCCTGAGCAAGAATGAGACCCCATCTCTACCAAAAATAGAAAAATTAGCCAGGCTTTGTGGCCTATGCCTGTAGTCCCATCTACTTGAGAGGCAGAGGCAGGAGGATCCCCTGAGCCTAGGAGTTTGAGATTGTATTGAGCTACAGTGACGCCACTGCACTCTACCCAGGGTGACAGAAGGAGACTCTGTCAAAAAAAGGACATTTAGTTAAAAAAAACTGAAATTTCTTATTTTTCTGATCATCTTCATTTTAAAACAAGCTTTTTATAAACAAAACACTTTTGTTGAATTTAGTACAACTAAAGCATCAGTAGGAAATTTTACTGAGTTTGTAACCCTTCTTCAGCAATGTCAGGAAGATTCCATTTACTAGAATGATATGCAAAAAAAAAGTCACAGATAAAATTATGTTATGATTTAACCATTAAATTTAGCTTTGAATTGGCCAAAACTTAATTACTTTACCTTTAAAAATTATACTTTTCATGCTGATAATATCTAACAGCCAATTTTTGGAAAACAAAAACTAGCTGTAATGGTATTTTTTAAGGTGTGTGACTTGTTACTTTAATCCTTATATATATTACATGGATACCAAACCATAGAAGATAATAACTTTTCAGTACTTAAATAAATGATTCA